TGTATGTGGTGCTGAGGAACGAACCCAGGCCGCACGCATGCCAGGCGAGCGCGCTACCGCTTGAGTCACATCCCCAGCCCTCTACCAAATCTTTGAATAAGAATTCACCATTTCTTTTCTAGAAAATAGGAAAAGAGGGAACACTTCCCAATTTGTTTGAGGTAGCTAAAATTACCCTGATACCAAAACTGACAAAGATAATACAAAATAGAAAAAAAAAATCAATATTCCTCATGAACATAGATACAAAATCTTTAACAAAGTATTAGCAAGTAGAATTCAATAATACATAAAAATAATTATATACCATGACCAGGTGATGCTTATTTCTGAGATGAAGGGTTAATGAAATATTCCAAAAGCAATCAATGAAATTCACCATATTGATACGTAAAAGAAGAAAAATCATATAATCATATCAATAATCATAAATCAAATAAAAAATCATATAATCATATCATTTGACAAAATTCAATACCCATTCATGAGAAAAATTTTTTGAATAGAAATAAAGGAGAAAGTTTGTCAACTTGGTAAAGAATATCTACAAAATACTTATACATGTTACATAGCTAACATGATACTTAATTGTGAAAACTAAGTACTTCCCTTCTGAGATCAAGAGCAAGGCCCCACTCCTCTTACCCCTATTATTCAACATATTGTTGGATGTTCTAGCCAGTGCAATAAGGCAAGAAAAGGAATTAGAAGGCATGTAGATAGGAATAGAACTGCACCTATGAATAGAAAAATAAAACCTTCCAATTTAGACTCAGTTTCTTCTTCTATATACTCATAACACAGATCTAGACTCAGTTTCTTCTTCTATATACTCATAACACAGATCACTTCTGAACCCAAAAGGTCTGTGGATTTTCCCCCACCAACAGGCAAGCAATGAATTCTACAGCAGACATTAGTGAGTGTCCTCTAATCCAATTCAATTCTGACACTATCAACCTGGAGATAACATCAGGTCCCACAAACTGAAGGCTCAGTCCCCAAGACTGTACACACACACACACACACACACACACACACCTTATATGCCAATCACAAGCTGTAGGTTGTTTTACCTGTCCTTCTGACAGACTGCCTATGAATCAGAGTTCCTAAAACCCTCACCTTGGGTTCAATTAATTTGCTTGAGCAGCTCACAAAACATAGTGAAACCCTTACTTCTCACTTACTCATTTATCATAAAAGATATTATGAAGAATACAGATGAAGAAATGCTTAGAGCAAAATATGAGGGAAGGGTGCAGAGCTTCTGCCCCCTCTTCAGGCAGGCCACCCTCCAGGAATCTCCATGTGTTCAGTCATCCAGAAGCTCTCAGAACTCAGATCTAATGCTAATAGACTGGGTGGGGAAAACCCAGCAAGGCCTGTCTGTTCAGATTCTTCTTGACTTCTCTGTGCAGCATTCCCCGAGTATAGGTCAGGACCCCTTCTGAAATGGGGGTCTTATTGTCTAGAAATTCTCGTTTCCCTGCACTTCCTTAGGAGAAAAGAGCATGTGAAAGGAGGATAAGAGAAGGTCAGAAAGAGAGACTGACACTGCTTTCTAAGGTCTAAAACACCCCAACATTATTCTAGTCACTTAATAAATAACAAGGCTGTGGGTACTATGAGCCAGGAACTGTGGATAAAAACAAACTGCATATCATAACATCACACCCTGTTGCATATGACATGATTATGTACATAGAAAACCCTCCTAGAACTAATAAGTGAGTTTATCAAGGTTGCAGGATATAAGATAAACATTCAAAATTCAATTCTGTTTCTATATGCTATCAGTAAACACATGGACATTGAAATTAAAAATACAATTCCATTTAAAATTGTTCAAAAATGTATTGCTTAGGAGTAAATATAACACAAAAAATACAGAATTTGAACATGGAAATAAAAAACAAATTATTTATTGATACTTTCAACAACCTAGATGAATCCTCCAGGGAGTCATGCTGAGTGAAAAAAGCATATCCCAGCTGGGTGTGGTAGCACATATCTGTAATACCAGTTACTCAAGAGTCTGAGGCAAGAGGATAGCAAGTTCAAGGTCAGCCTAGGCAATTTAGAGGCCTTGTTTCAAAATGACTCAAAATAAGAATAAAAAATAGCTGGGGATGTGGCATTCAATCCCCAGTAAACACACACACACACCTATTCCCAAAGATCCCATACTATCTTATTCCTTTTTTTTTTTTTTTTGGTGTGTGTGTGTGTGTGTGTGGCAATACTGGATACTGAAACCGAGGCACTCTACCACTGAACAACACTCCCAGCCCTTTTTATTATTATTATTACTTTTAAATTTTGACACAAGAATCTTGCCAACTGTCTAGGCTGGCCTTAAACTTGTGATTCTCCTGCCTCAGCCTCTCAAACAGGTGCAATTACAGGCATGAGCCACTGCACCCTGCTCCATTTTTATTTGTATAACATTGTTAAAATGATAAAATTATAGAAATGGATAACAGATTGTTACTGGAGGTTAAAAAGGTGATGCAATATGAAGTAGGCATGACCATAAAAGGACAACCAAACAAAGCCTTGTGATGGAAATGTCCTAGACCTGACAACACCAATGTCAGAATCCAGGTTGTAATGTATGTCAGTTTTGCAAGATGCCACTATCAGGAGGAACTGGTAAAGCGTACAAGGCACCGCTCTTATTTTTTACAACTATGTGAGGATCTATCTTATTCCAAAATGAAAAGTTTGATTTCAAAAATATTTTATAAAGTGCACAAGGAGCAATGATACCAATTTGGTTCATGCAAAACGAATCCAAATCACACACACTATTCACTTCACTGCAATAAGCCAGCATCCACATTTAAACAAAAATTGAAAAGTCTGGGGCCACCTTCAGAGGGATCCATCAGGAAGGAGCTCAAAAGCAGAATATGGGTGTTATAAAAGATTTTAAGCTTTTAAGCCATACTTTAAGGAAACAGCATTGAATTCATATTCCTTTGAGCTCAATCCTTGCCCCTCCCTACTGCCCTCATGTCCCCTGCTGACCCCTTACCCTACAACCAGCTCTGGGTTCTGCTCACAGGCAATCTGCTAACTCTATATCCCTGCAAAGCACACCTCCCTTTCTTCAGGCTCCTCTCCTGGAACCGACCCTGAAGCAAGAGCCTGCCCTTCTTCTTGGAGCCCCACAGCACCCTACATGATACATGGCCTATAAGAGGCTCCATACAGTTTTGTTGTCTTACACAAAGCGCTCTGAAGGATGGCTGCCTGCTGATCTCCCTCCCCCAGTGAAATGAACATCCTAGTGAAGGAGCCCAATTATCTTCTGCCCCCAATCTTTGCCAAGCTCTCTCCAGTTGTCATTGCTAAAGAAATGAATTGCAACATGGTTCTGCGTGTTTCCACACACCTGAGGTTGGAGGCTGGCCCTCAACCAGCAGGAACCTGTTGGGGAGGCTGGGAGGTACTTCTCCATATACAAGGGCTCCATACACAGTAATGAGGCACCTGTAGGGGCCATCTAGAATCTGCAGCCTCATCTTCATCCTCTGGAGCTGGGTGGACAGGGTGTTCATGGGAGGGGGCCCCATGAGAGGGTGGAGAAGTCAGAGCTGCTGTGTAGCCCCAAAGCCTGCAATTTCCCTTTTTAATTTATGGTCACAGCCAGTGAGTGTGTAAACCATGGACTGAATGGAGCCAGTTGCTGTAATTGCTTCATGGCTGTGTCTTCACTCGGCACCTGACCATCTGCCTCTGCCCTCCCTGCTTGCTTACCAGCCTTCCTTTGGGGCACACTGACCTTTCAATCTCTCCTTTACTACCAGCCATCCATCTGCTGACTCCACATCATTCTCCCATAGGTGTGATTGTATTACTCCCCCACAAAACTGTTCTGATCTCTTTCACCAAAGGTGTGTATGCACCTCCTTAGATAGGCCTAGGGCCCTCCATTTGCTCAGCACCTGCTCCTCTGGCCATGGTGCTCCCTGCCCACAGTATGCCTTCTTCTCTCCTAGGCTCCTGCCATGGCTTAATAGCTTCCACTGAAACTCCTGTTGAAATTTAATCCCCAAAGTGGAGTATTAAGAGGTTGGATCATCACCTCTTAATATGGGGGTATTAAGAAGTGGTAAGATCTACTTAGGGGCTGGAGTGGTGGCTCAGTGGCAGAGCGCTTGCCTAGCATGTGTGAGGCACCAAGTTCGATCCTCAGCACCACATATCAATAAATAAAATAAAGGTCCATTGGCAACTAAAAATATTTTAAAAATCTATCTATACATTAATGAGTTAGTTGGTTATCTCAGTACTTCGAGTTATAAAAGTCAGTTTATCTCTGTCCCTTGGTTGCCCCTCTCTTACCATGTGATTCCCTGAACCACTGTGGGACTCTGCAGAGAGGCCCTGCTTGCAAGAAGCCCTTAACATAAATAGTCCCTTGATCTTGGATCTCCTAGCTTTTAAGTGTAAACTGAATAAACCTCTCTTTTTTTAAAAAAAAAAATTATAGTTGTAGATGGACAGAATGCCTTTATTGTATTTGTTTTTTTTATTTTTATGTGATACTGAGGATCAAACCCAGTGCCTCACTCATGCTAGGTGAGCGCTCTGCCACTGAGCTATAGGCAAGCGCTCTGCCACTGAGCTACAGCCCCAGCCCAAACCTCTCTTTTTATAAATTACCCAATCTGTGGCATTCAGTTATAGTAACAGAAAATGGCCTAGACAGTTCCCTTGTGTCCAGGGACCTTTCCCTGATGCCATCACCTGGCACAGCCTCTGCCTCCTCTGGCTCCAAAGCAGGATCTGCCAGATTTGTGGGATGTGTTGTACTTATTGGACATGTCTTATCACCTAGAATTGTGGCTTTGGAGGTTGGGGATCTGAAATGGCCACACTCTATCAGAGGTTGGGAGGTCTCTCATGCAGAGTCCTGTACTCAGCCTACAGCTTTTGGGTCTATTCCCTTGTTTCTCTTCTCATCCAAACTAAACATTTGAAGTCCATACCTGCTCCAGAGGCTGATTCTCATGCCAGTATTCTTGGCCATAGCCCCTGCTGTCTGCTGCTCCCAGCCGCCAAGCCTCCACTGGTGCTCTTTGTCTCCCAGTTGGCAACCTGCAGTCTCCCAGGAGTAACCACACATTGTTTTTTGGGCTCTCTGTTGCCTCCTCTTCTTCTAGCCACCCATGTGCATAAACCATGGGTATGGGCTAGGAGCTGGATTGCAGGAAGAAGATAAAATGCTCAGCAATCTGTAGGAGACAGATGTTTGTATTGTATTGTATTGAAGTCATTGTGGCAGGACATGAGGACAGACAGGGCTTTGTCCCCCCAGAAGATGAGGCGGATCCCTCTGCCAGGTGAAACCATGCTAACCACACTTGTATTTCCCCCAGGTTGGCTAGATGCAGAAGGTGGTTGCACAGATAGATGCAAATGGGGGTCTGGAGAGAATAGAGGCTGTTCTTGCTTAACCAGATGTTCCAAGGAGAAATGCAATCCACAAAGGGTACATGGGAAGTTTGGGTCACCTCTGCCCCATGGAGGCCCATCACACAGACCCTTAAGAAAGTGCATCTTTCTGATCCAGAGAATCTTACACCTTCATAGGATAGGGTGAAAACCTGGAGAATTGCACAGGAGAGATGCCTTTATTGGGGCAGTTAAGCTTGCATAGAGTCTTGGGCCAGAAGCATCCACATCCCTCTTTGAGCTAGGGTCCTATTTAAGTCAAATATTTTGTTTGTTTGTTTTTTGTTTTGTCAGTGCCATGGATCAAACCCAGAGCCTCACACATATTAGATAAGCACTCAGCCACTAAGCCACATCCCCAGTCAATGCCTGTGTGCAGAGGGCTGTCTCCAGTGTGGTGACCTCAAGTTCGGTGGCAGATATGAATACTTCCCAGTCAGCTCCCCACAGGGCCTCAACCTCCCCCTCTTGGTGGCCAGAGACCTCTCAGGGGTCTTCTATAACTTACAGAAAACTTGAATGTCCAATGTGCTCCTTAAACCCTTTACCTCAATTTGTCAGTTTTTAAAAAATTTTTATTTTTTAATTTTTAGGCGGATACAATATCTTTATTTTTTAATGTGGTGCTGAGGATCGAACCCAGTGCCTCACAGGTGCTAGGTGAACACTCTACCACATGAGCCACAACTCCAGCCCCTCAATTTGACAGTTTTTAACATTTGCTTCATTTCTCTCTTGAGCACTCTCTATATAAATCTGCATAAATTTTCTATTACTACTGCCATGACTTTAATTATTATTCCTGGACAACTTGGGAGTGTTGTCATTCTTTACCCCCCAAATTCCAGCATGTTTCTGCTAAGAATAAGGATGCTCCACTCAAGTATTAAATTCAGGAAATTCAACATTGACACAACACTCTTATTAGACACACAGTCCCAATGATAATGCCCCTCTGTCCATATAGGATATATTCCAAGACCCCTAGTGGATGCCTAAAACTTTAGATAGTACTGAACCCTATATAAACTATGATTTTTCCTATATATACATACCTATGATAAAGTTTAATTTATAAATTAGGAACAATAAGAGATTAGCAATAATAACTAATAATGAAATAGAATATTTTAGTAATATTCTGTAATAAAAGTTGTTTAAAACTTATGAACTATTTATTTATGGATTCTTTTAATATTTATTTTTTAAGTTGTAGTTGGACACAATACCTTTATTCCATTCATTTATTTTTTATGGGGTGCTGAGGATGGAACCCAGGGCCCTGTGCATGCTAGGCGAGTGCTCTACTGCTGAGCCACAATCCCAGCCTCTTATTTCTGGATTTTTTTTCATTTAATATTTTCAGACCCCAGTTGACCATGAGTAACAGAAACCTCAAATAAGGGAGGGACTATTGTATTCAAATTTTATCAATTGTGCCACTGATATCCCTTCTAACCATTTTCCTGAGTTCCGAACCGTACTCTCTTTTTCACCCTCCTATATCTGGAAGTGGTCCCTTGTCTCTTCCTCTTTCCCCCCCAGGGTGGCATCTGGGCACCCAGGCCACCATTCTACAGCATGTCCCTTACTGGTGTGTGCCTGATCATTTCTTACAATGAGATAACAAGGCTGCGCATTATGAGTGACACCCATTTCTTCCCAGAGCCCATGACACTCCTGGGCTTAGGTGGTATCAGTCAGGTGTCTCAACCTGTGTCATTAATTAAAAAAAAAAAAGCCATGGAAGAAGTTCTGAGTCTGCGTAAATATCTTTTCTAACTATCTTTCACCCCAAGACTTCCTAGCACCTGCTGTTGATTCTTGCCTGAGTCAGTTATTACTACAACAAATGCAAGATAATAATTTTTCAACTCCTTTATTTCTTCTGCATTTAGTAGCTGGCATTATACTATAATGCCATAGATGGCAGTCTACTTGTCCTGTTTATTTATTTATTACTAGTAAGGGTTTGTGGGTTTTTCCTTTATTCAGTGAGTTACAATCCATTGCTGCTATTGTTCACTTTGCTTCAGGCAGACTGGCTCCTGGCTCCCATCACCTTTGGACATAGACTCATCGGTTCTGAGCACTTCCTTACTTCCTGGAGCTGAAGGATGTTCACAGCTCAGCTTCTGCTTTCACTGTCATAGTCCTGGACTTAGCCATGACTCTGAGGAACCCAATATGTCCTAGAGAGGAATATTTCCTCAGCACCAAGACCTAGGTGTAGATTGTGCTTATTTTTAACAGATTGCACCAGGTTCTAGAAAAAAATATATATGTATATATGTGTGTGTGTATGTATATATAATAGTATATACAAATATAGTATATAATATATAATATATTAACTATATTAATAATATATAATTATAAATTAAATAGGATTGAACTAGGATGTTTCATTAATATTATTAATTTAATATTAACATAAATGATATATTACTAATTTAAATTATATTTGTAGTTAATTATAATATATATAATTAATACATAATAATTAATATCACTGTCACAGCTAGTCCTAACTCAGTACCACAGGTTCCTCCTGTTTCCACCTGTTCATATCTATAACTGATTTTCCCACAAAAGAGTACAAACATCCAAACACATCACTATTTAGCCTCCCAAACATACAGGACCTTTCTGGAATTGCTAGATCCACACCACTGTAAACAGCAAACCTGCTGAGATGTGTTTATACTTCTTGTCTTGAGAATTAATCTATAGTGAAAATGTTCATGTTCAAAACTGAATTGGAAAAAATAATAAACAAAAAATTTTTTAAATATATAAAAATTTAAATAAAAGAATAGCATACAAAGACACAAAAAATAAAATCATACCCCCCCAAAAACAAAGATTTACAAAATTAAATTTGATCTAAAAGAAACAAAAGTTACTGTACTTGGACTCTTTTTTGTTTTCTTCTGTGTGGCTGTGACATTCATGTGAAATATAGGTAGGTTTGGTTTTTCGTTAATGTTCAGTTTTATGGCTTCTAATGTTCTTCGTTTAATTTTATTTACAATTGTAGGAAATATAAACAAGATCCAAATTCCAAAAGCCCCATGTTCTCCCTCCCACTTTCCCGTTTTGACCACTATGCCTCTACTTTCATTCATTCCTGGTTGTCTCCCGTTTTTTTTGTTTTGTTTTGTTTTGGTTTTTTTGACCAACATCAGAATATGTGTGTACAGTCACACACACACACACACACACACAAACACAAACACACAGAATCATGTGCTGATAATGGCATCTTGGTAAATAGCAGACCACATATACGATGATGGTTCTATAATATTATATTACCTAGTGTCATCACAGGCATCTTAATTTGTGTCAGAATACTGTGATGCTTGAACAACAATGAAATCACATAACAACTCTTTTCTCAGAATTTATCCAATTGTTAAGTGATGCATGGCTGTATTCGTTTTTTTATTTCTCACAAAAAGGTGGCAAACAATCCTGATCAGTTTGTGCATGTGAGTGTGTTTTAATTCACATAACATGTCACATGAAAATGTTCCTCATGGCCCAGATGCTCCTGTTCCCCCTGCACAGCTGTGATACTCCCCTGTATGATGCTCCCATGTGTGGCTGCTACTCTGTGGCTCAAGGTTGTTTCCAATATTAGTAATGACAAGTTAGGCCAACATGTATACATCGGTCTACAGATACCTCTGCATTGTTGGAGGTGCATCTTCAAAGCAAATTCTCACAGGTGGAATTGCCAGTCCACGGGTGAAGCAAAGGCAATCTCATTAGGTACTGTCCCAGTTCATATTGTTACTGGTATTTGAAGGTGAGGCCTTTGGGACATAATCAAGATTAGATGAGGTCATGAGGGTGGGATTCTATGATGGCATTAGTAACTTTATAAGAAGAGGAAAAAGAGACCTGAGCTAGCAGACTTACTCTGTCTCACCATGGGATGCCCTCTGCCATTCTGTGATACGGCAAGAAGGCCCTCACACCATGCTCTGGGACTTTCCAGCCTCCAGAATTGTGATTTAAATAAATCTCTTTTCTTCATAAATTACCCAGGCAAAGAGACTGGACTAAGACTTATACTAATGCCATCCAACAGAAGTAGAATGTGACCTACTTGTACAATTTTTAATTTTCCAGGAGCCACATTGTATTAACTTTCCATCATTGTAACAAGTTACCTGAAATAATCAACTTACAAAGAGAATATGTTTTTTGGCTCACAGTTTAGAGGTTTCAGACAATGATCAGTTGGCCTGCTGCTTTGGGCCTGTGACAAGGCAGCAGCACATCATGGCAGGAGCACATTGTGAAGCAAATCTGCTCACCTTGTAAGCACAAAGTAAGAGAGGAAGAAGGGGCTGGGATCCCACTATATTATTAAAGGGCATATCCCCAGTGACCTCAGATCCTGCCATTAAATCCTACCTCTTAAAAGTTCTACCACCTCCTAGTAGCACCACACTGGTCTTTGGGGTACGCATTAAAAAAGAAGTAAAATTAATTTTCATACTTTTAAACTTAATATATCCAAAATATTATCATTCCAACATACAGTTTATATACACAAATGACTAATAAGGTAGTATATACATTTTTGTTACCAAATTGGACATGTGTTGTATTCTTGCAGCTTGTGTTCATCTGGGCCAGCCACATCCTAGGTGCTCAGCAGCCTTGTGTGGTTCCTGGCCACCATGATGGACATAGGGCTGTTATGTTCCTCTAGCCTATTGTTTGTGGTTCACACCAACTTGTGGCAATTACCAA